AAATTATATGCCTTTCCCTTAATAAAACAACATACACTTCTATTTTACATTGTTTTCAATGGCAGTACTTTCCCATTGATTATCATTATGAGTTTATCATTTCGTAACGATTTTCTGGGACTGTATTTAGTAATTGACACGTTGTTGACATACCGGTGCTCAATAAAAGTTCAAACCCACAAAAAATTAATCCCGAATAAATATTTTAATTACATATAAAAATTTAAATAAATATTTCTAATGGTTTAGATTTTATTCAATTTTATATCTTGAGTCTATCATTTCGTAACGGGGTGTATTACTATCATTTTCCTATCATTGATGACAATCTCTTTGATTTTGGGACACTTTTCTATCAGATTCTCAACACATGTTTGGGTGAACTTTTCGGGCCCTTTAAGATGAATGGTCTGTATTTTCGTTAACTTCGACAACGAGTCCAAAGACTGATCGCTAATAACTGTGTTACCAATGGATAGGTATTGCAGTCTCGGTAGACATCCACTGATCTGATCGTAAAACTTGTAATCAATGAGACTCTGCTTGTAATCGATAGTCAAATACTTCAATCGTTTGCATTCACGAAACGAGTCATCCATTAGTTCCCAATCTTTGGGATATTCGCCACTGAATGCCAAACGAGTCAAACGGTTCCCAAAATGTTCACTCAATACTCGCCACAAATCTCTCATTACATTCACTGAAGAGATATGCAAATTAATGGACAGTTTCTTAAGACTCCGACAATTGGTTCCGATTTTGCTCAACTGATCCACAAATTCACGACTCAATGACTGATCACTTGTCATCAATTCAATGCGCAAATCCTTGAGTCCATTCATACGCGACAAACCAGTCATCAGAGTCTTGATATACAAGTGGTCATCGATGGAAGGTTTGACCGCAATCTGAACGCCTATACTCTTCACGCGATTGGCATAAATGTCTTCAAATCAGGTCCACATCTGTGTCATCAGATTGTCGTACGTGAAGTCAATTCAACACAATCTGATGGCCATCACCGGCAAAGAGTTGATGAAACACTTCTTCAAACATTCTGTTGGAGTGATTGATGGCAAGTGTCTCGAGATTATGGCACCCATTGAAGACATGATAATTGAAGCCCTCTTTGAGTGCTACCAGATATTCGTCATCTGGGAAGCGGTCGCCACTGAATGCGATGTCTATTGTCTTCAAGTGATCCCCAAATTTGCCGAAAAACGCGAGGATTGTCTTCAGCCGTCAATCACGTGACAGACGACATCTCAGGTGCAGTGCTGTCACGCGATGGCAATGTCTTGTGATTAAGACAAATATCTGATCCAATGAATGAATGCCCGCATTATCGGTGATATGAATGTATTGAATGTGTGGACACTTCCGGAAGATTGTCTCAAATCCCAACACATTTACGAAGAGTTGTCATCAATGGTGAGCACGTGTTGTCCTCTGAAGACCAGTCGTTGCCATTGTTTGGACAGACATTCAAAGTGGAAGCAGTCCTCGAGAGACACATAAGACAACGCGAATCCCGTCAAATCATCGCCGAAGCGATCAAAAGAGTCTTTACTGAAGATCTGATCTATTGTTTTGCGGATCAATTCAAAGATCACACGAATTGGTGACAAAAATAAGACTCAAAGATAAAAACTGCTCACAAATGATGTGACACTCGAAAGGGATGAATATTTTATTGACCACTAATAGGCTAACAATTTAAATTTGCTAATTCATGGACTGCTCTGTTCACAGATAACGTGCTATTATTGGGGGTGTTTTACTTTGAAATCATTATGACTAGTCGTAAGAATATAATATATTAGGATAAAATGTATCTAGGATGTAATATATTTGATGCAAAACTAAAATCACATAATTATGTAGTGTTTAGTGTTAAGTAATTTCAAAACTACGAAACAATTATTCAAATAAATCCGTATAAAAGTGGTTATGAATGGGGTTTACATTGAAATTCTCGTAATGTCTTGAATCACGTTTGTCTCCATTGCTGTCAATGTCTTCATAATTGATAGTCTCGTATCCATTCAACTCATAAGCAGTCAATTCATCGTAATCTTCCTCGTTGTCCATCACATTGAATGGATTCTCTGTTTTCCCATTTCTGGGAACACTTTCCTCTCCTTTCCTTCTCTTCTTCGTTAGTCTTCGGCGCCAAACAATAAGTGCACCAAAAATGATGGCCAACAGGAGTGTCACCACAAATGTGGACAATAGAGTGACTATAATCGGGAAGAAATGTCTTTCATTGTGATGAAAATGTTGAGAATTAGCTATAATAACATAAAATGACAAAGAGTTTAATGAAGTTTGAAAAGTATGCAAATATTAGCAGAATATTCTGTAGAAATACATACATTTGTTTGAACTGCAAATATCTGATCTCAAGTCTCCCGTCCATAAGCCGTCTTCATTGCAATATAAATAATAAAATTCTTGTGAATTATGACTATTATTGCACTGAAATTTGATTTTGCTGTCAGTGGCGGCCACTTGTTTGCCATCGAAATACTCGAAGTACTCGAACTGAACGGATTTGAATTGACTTGAATTCCACATAAACTCTTTGGTCGAGCACTGGTTGATGGGATAGAGTAGTGGAAACTCTTTATCCCAATTGCCTTCAAACAGACAATTGATTGTATTGTTGTTGTCGTACAACACTTTATATCTGTCCGGTTTGGTCGGGTGTATCACTACTGTCTGACCCGTGTTATGACTTTTGGCGTTTAGTGGTATGTCTGGTGTACCGCACCGGTGCTCAAATCTATACACTGATATCTTGTCCACTATTATACTGAATGTATAATTGGATTCAAATGAAAATGTTAATGAGCTTGGTATATCTTTGGATTCGTTTTTAAAATCATTCATAGAGTTTAGTTCACAAATAAAATTGATGTAAATTCGGTTATTTTGTAATAAACTTTGATGTATTTTCACACATTTTCTATATCTATTAATCCATAGAAAAACTGATAGATTTGTTGAGTTTTTAGTCCCAATCGATTCAAATCTAATGATTAATTCAATGTAAGATAATCTGGATTTTGGTTTATAGTTAAGTTGGAGACGAACTCGCTTTGAGAGACTGATGTCTATTGAATTCAAATTAGCAAATGTTTGATTGAATATATTTAATACTTTGGTATCATTCATATCCATATATCTTATGAAATAATTGGTTACATTTAAATTTGGACTTTCTTTGAGAGCTAGAAATGAAATCAAAAATCAATATATATTTCAATGGTAACGTTAATTAAATGAAAATAAATACTTAACCACATTTAGGAAGTCGTGGAGTCCATCTACCTTTATTACATTTCCTAATTGTGCTATAAAGTTGTTTTAAATGTTCTTTGCATTCATAATGAACTACCTGTCCTTCATTAGCAGTTGAGGACTGACCATAAATGTCTGCGCCCTCAGGGATTCCTGGCGGACCACAACTGTTATACACATATTTCAACATTAATACAAATATAATGAATGATAAAACTTCCATAAAATTTATTTAGAAATAATTCATTCACAAATATCTGGGAAATGCAATATACAATCATATCCTAAGAAGTGAGTGACTATTAGTTAATTTAATAGTATAAAAATTGTTTAGGCAAATAGTTTTTTGTTTATTTTTTATGCAAAAGTTTTTCCTTACAAATAAATTAATTAACTTTGAATTTGTAACAATTTTATTCATTTTAATATCTTCTACTGACAAGGATATGACATAAATAGGATATGCATTAGTTTTGTAATTATTATATAATCAGATAGTCAAAATGTGATATGTGTATTTAAACATATTACACATTTACATGTGTAAAAAACAATTAATATATTTTGATTTAATTTATCAATTTAAATCATTACACAAGATTTTAATTAATCTAACTTTATTACTTTATAATATATTTTTAAAATATAAACATAACAAAAACTTAATATATTATTCGTATATAAACATTATATAATTATAAAGTAAAAGTTGTTATTTATTGATGTATAGCTTAATTATCTTAATTGAATGCATTTCCTTTTGTGGGTTTAGATTTTGATAACATATCATTACACAAAGCATTCAATATTCATAAGAAAAATTTGAACAAATACTGTATAAGTCCGATTCTAGATAAAAAGTTTATTAAAATTTACATAACATTTGTGATTATATTCGCATAAAGTTTAAATAAATAATTTTCCATTAATTAAAAATTAAAGTTTGATTAGTAATTAATAATT